CTATGCCACGCGATTCCAAATGTCGAGAACGTCAATTTGGACCCTACTTCTTTTGACATTTTTTTTTTTTTTTTTACAAACTATTTCTAAGTACGGTTGTGACCGGACGTCACTCTCCGGGTACGTGGATCACACGAAAATGTAAGAATTCAGCCAGATTTGCCTATTAAACGGTCGCCACTCGGTTTGACCCATATGTACCGAGAAGGTGAGTAACGAAATCATGACACGATATTACAACAATATCACATTAATTCTCTCTTATTTTCAGGATCTCGACGCAGGATGTCTCGACGCCCCGACGCTGCCTTCCCACTGCTGGATCATCGATGGACAACGTGGGACCACCCTCGGAGTACCAGGTAAGTAGATAACGGATACGTTTAATTAATCGGTCAATTCCTGTTTCAGGTATTTCACCCGAGCAAATCCTCTCGCTCCAGGTGGATCTCAACTGTCGTTGACTGTCCCAGATCCTCGCAGAATCGCATACTGGAACGCCGCTGGACTTCGCTGGATCGATGCCGTAGGACAAGGTAAGTAGCAGGTAAGTAATTCAAAATTAACTTGACACTGCGTATATTAACAAACGATTGATTTATTTCAGATCGTCGTTGTGGTTTACAAATTCACGTTGACACATTTCGTCGAACGTTGTTACAAATGGCTATTGATTGCCTCTCGCAATTATAATCACGAGCGATGTTTAACGCGCAAGTACGCGGGCGTGCTTCCTTGTGATATACCACGGTGCTAAACTACGCAGTAAGTCCGAATATGAGCGAATCTTAAAAGCGTGTTATCCCGATCGCGGTATCCGAGCGACTGCCTCGAGTTGCCGAGCGCTCTCGGCTATCCCATTTCGGGATATCTATCCCTACCATCGGGTTGTTATTCACATCCTGGTACTTTTCCGTGCCAGGTGTTACCCGCTTTCACTTTTCTTTTGATAGTTTTTGCCTGTTTTCGTCGCTGGTTACGGCTGCGGTTCTCAATCTGCGCTTTATAACTAATCGCGCCTGCGGTTCTCAATCTACGTCTTATAATTAATCGCACGCGTCGGCATGGGTCCCGCTGGACCCCGCTCCCCCGGTTCCCGGGTTCTGGTATTTCACGATTGAGTGGTCTCGCTGACCCTCTGGATTTATTTCGGCGCCTCCCCTAATGACATTCCACCCGCCGATTTTCCCCGGGCTCTCTCGATTTCCGATATCCGGGGGTCATCGTATGTTCCCGCTAGACTCGCTTCCGTCATCAATATCGCGTCGCGAGTCGATCG